AAAGCTAAGCAAAATTTCGAAGAAAAACGTACCAACTTTGTGTAATCAAATTCAGTTTTCAACCCAAATTATCAAACAGATTGAACACAATCATACCGAAATTGTTCAACTGCAGTTATGAAATTTGCCTCGGAATTTCTCCTCATTTTCCATAATCAGCAAGAGTCATTTTTCAGCTTAATTTTTAAAGGACGGTATCAATTTTGTGTTATCAACTTCTCCTACAGTTTTTACCCAGATCATTGAAACTTCAGTTGAAGTTGTTCACCACCTTATGTAGTTTCCATATATTCAAATTTTCATTAAATACCTCTCTTCTTTATTTAAGAAACTTCTTGTGCAAACCGTCCATTTGAGTCTATGTTCCTTTGTTTTTTTAAACATCATTAACTAAGAAACAAGAACAAAAATTTACAAAAAAATAATTTATTTCTTTTTGAAATAGAATGAAAAAACTGTCTACTTTTCAAACCTAAAAAGTGGGACCGAAACCTCCTTCTTGGGGATTCTTTTAAGGAGGTGTGTAGAAGAACCTTTTTCACGTTGGTTTCTACTTGCACTAATAATGCTTTAAATATTTGTCAACTTTTAAAATGAATTCCATCATTAATGAAGTAATTAACTAAAACACATCAGGTACAGTAACTTGATATAAAAGCTACATGCTCTAAATAGCATGTTTCGCTCACCTGTATCTTTGTGCATATTTATCAATGACACCTCTCCAACATTGTAGGCTGAATTATAGCAAGACATCCCAACTTTCCCGCTTGATGGGAGATATACCCTATGAGAGGTGTTGACCTAACTCTCTGACTCTCATAAAACTCAATTATTTAGACAAAATACTTTTAAAAAGACATTTAGAGGAGTAAAAACATGTACTAGTATACTCATTCAAAACCATAAATGTTATAATTAAGTACACTAATGACATTTATATGAATAAGGTCCTCTTGTGCTTTTAATACCCTATGGAGAAAATTGGCAGGTATGTATTATAATAGTTCATAACTAAAATCTCTCTTTTGTTGATGTTGTATTGCTGATCATTTTTCTATTTAGTTTCTCTATAATTACTATAATTTTTAATTTCTAAAACAACAAAACTGGGTTAACAATATCAAGGTTAGTAACTCCTATTAGAAGTAGACTGACTATATTGGCTTTGTTTTGCCTATTTATTGATCGTGTCTTGCTGATCATTTGTATTTATCTATTCTGTTGGTGGTTTGCTTTCATATTTACATGCACCCTACATCCGTTTATATTATCATTCATAGCTATTATTTAAACCTAAATGTTATCAAAACAATTGCATTCATTAATTCACTCGCTCCATCTCTTTTATTCACTCTCCCATTAACTGACTCGCTCACTTTCGGGCATCCCCTATCTCGCTCATGAATCCACACATTCTCACTCTCTCTCGCTCAGTCGCTTGCCCATCCATTCACTTACTTTCTCTCTCTTGCTTGCTCACTCATTCGCATAACCACTCACTCTCTCACTTGCTCATCTACCCATCCAGTCTCTTGCTAGCTCATCCTCTCGCTCATCCAATCTGATGATAGCACTATTTATGTGATTGGAAAAGACAAAAGGTATATAAGTCAGGCACTCAATGCTGTATTAGAAAATATTTGTCATTGGTGTGAGTAAAACAAAATGTTAGTAAATGTATCAAGAACAAAGACAATGCGTATAGGTTCAAAACAAAAACTGTCTGCCATGTGCAATGACACAATAAATATATCCATTTATGGCCAACATATTAATGAACGTCACTGTGAAATATTCTTCCACATTTGGATTACTGTTGTTCAGAATGGGGAAACTTCAACAAGTTTTTAATTGACAGTTCACTAAAATTGCAAAAAAATTCTTGTTCTACGGATTTTCCACTCCAGAAATTGGGGCGAGCGAGCGATTTGAAAATTTTAATAAAAAAAAATTCAATTTGCCAATTTTTGAGGCGAAGTTTGAAAAGTAAAGGCGAGCGATTATAATTTTTTTTTGTAAACATAGGTTCTGACAATATTGATCAAAACAAGATGGTATGAAACTTGATTTACTTCTTGTACTTTGACATTTCTTTAATTTATCAACTGCTAAAGTGTTGGTTTTTTTTTCCTGTTCACCAAGACATGTAATGCCCACTTTTAATTGCAGCATATTTATGACTTCTTGTATTACTGTATTATTGTTACTTTCTGAGGACATCAGATCTTGAACTGAATAATTGAATAATTATTTTAACTGCTTTAAATGATCTCCATTGAATTGTCATAGATGTCTTTCCTCCATGACCTTCACCGGACATGACTTATAACTAGCAACACGGCGGGTGTCTTGCAAGAAACAGGAACTGCTCATCCTTTCGGAGCATCTGAGTTCACCCCCGTTTTTTTGGGTTTGTGCTGTTTGTTGATGTGTGTACTTTTTAGTTGTTTTGTGTTATATCTTGGTTGTCTGTGTCTCTGTCGTTTTTGTGTTCTAATTGTTGTTCTTTGTATTTTTGGCACTTTGTATATAAATAAGATGTGGTATGAGTGCATATGAGACAACTCTCCATCCAAGTCACAATGTATTTAAAGTTAACAATTATAGCCATATAGGTCAAAGTACGGCCTTCAACACGAAGCTTTTGCTCACACCAAACAGCAAGCTATAAAGGGCCCCAAAATGACAAGTGTAAAACAATTCAAACAGGAAAACCAATGGTCTAATATATATACAAAACGAGAAACACCTATGAACCACACCATCAAACGACAACTACTGAACAATAGGCTCCTGACTTAGGACAGGTGCATAAAAATGCAACGGGTATGGATAGTTTTGTTCCGCTGGCAAACGATATTGCAGCTGAAGGCAACACTTCTCCCCCACGTCCTTTATTCTAACATCGAAAATCGGCATGATTTTGTGAAGAATCGTCCTTGACTTTGATTAGAAATCTGTGTTAATGCTCGAAACAGTTTAAAGGGTCGCAATTTGACATTGAATAAAACGCTGTTGCGATCGCTTTTTATTTTGTTTTTAATGTTTACAAAAAAACCGGCGCGGGAAATAGATACGATTACTTTTCCGGATTCGGGAAGCGGTAATATTTAAAAAAATATTTTTTTCCCGTTAGGAAAAAATATGTGCAGGCGGGTCCGTCGAACAAGGAATTAAATTGGCGTGGCCTTACAAGTCATAATATTTTTCACAAAGTGTGAAGTTTATCAGTTTAACCACAATGTGTACTATAGGTGTATTATTTTTGTTATATGTTTATATATATATATATATTTTAATATTTTAATATTTATGTATTAGTAGATTGATTATGTTTTATTCATGTAGTTAATATTATATGTAGAGAGCCTTATTGAAAATTGGTTTCATCCAAATGAGTTACTCTCTTTAAATAAAGATATTATTATTATCATTATTATCATTATCTCTCTCTCGCTCGCTCGATCAACCACTCTCGCTCGCTCATCCACACTCTCTCTTTCTCATCCTCATCCAGTCTCTTGCTCACTCACTCAATCACTCTCTCGCTCATCCAACATCTCTCAATCACTTTCTAATCCTCTCGCTCGCATATCCACTCACTCTGTCTCATTCTATCAAAGGTCGGCACCCTCACCTTCAGTTAAACTTCATAAGGGGAGGAGCAAACCAAGTCATTTGACGTGAAACATTTTATTTCAATAGAAATTTTGTTTGCTGTGGTATTTTTACAATTGATTACTTGCAGTTTAATCTTCATGAAGGAACTTCGTGTTATATTGCTATCATTTGCATGATGATTGTGTATCATTCTATTTACTTTTGGAATGTAATTGACTTAATACGTTTTGATTGTTGTATTTTTGAGAAAATTACAAATAGCCATATTAAAGGGTGGTAACTGCAATTGATTTATTTTCAATTGCAAATGAATTGAGATACCATATTTCGGTGCGTATTTCGTGTAATCAACACCTCCTACAGTTTTCGAACTGGTTCCTTGATAGAAAGTAGTCAAAATATTATCATCTTTCTATAGTATCTCACTTCCCGACGAAGAATCGATCTTCTCTAGTGAGAATGTCTTCCGATAGGATTTCGTTTCAACAGATTTTTGTGTAACTCTCGACAGGCCAATAGTATGCATGCCAACTCGTATAGCTTTATGAATCCTAATTGTTAACTTGTCATTTTTATGAGTGTTATCACTTAAACAAGAGCTCCCAACCCTCCGAGAGCAGATGAGTTCAACCGGTTTTTTGGTGGGGTTTATGTTGTTTAATCTTTAGTTTTCTATGTAGTTTGTAGTGTTTTGTGGATAATTATCTGTCCATGTAGAAGTCTGTCCTTCTTCAACATAAAATTATAGTATTTTATTTGCCCTATGGTATTTTCCCCCTTTTATGCCTGTACTAAGTCAGGAATATGACAGTTGTTTTCCATTCGTTTGATGTGTTTAAGCTTTTTATTTTGCCATTTGGAAAGGGACTTTCCGTTTTGAATTTTCCTTGGAGTTCGGTATTTTTGTTATTTTACTTTTTTCATTATATTTGATCTTCTGGTATAAAAAAGGTTTCATGAAGAAGAGAGACGAACGTCACCAAAGGGACATCATATCTCAAGAGTCGAAGACAAATCGACAATGCCAATGCAAAAAACGAAAAATGACAGAAGATAAACAAACTTTCTACAAAACACTAATAAAGAAAAAAAAGACTAAGCAATACGAGCTCCATAAAAAAGCAGGGGATACATGTATATCATCAGATGTTCCGAAAGGGTAAGCAGATCCTGCTCTACTTGTTGCACCCGTAGTGTTGTACACAATAACATCATATTATGATCAAATTGATTTATTTATTTCATTAAAACATTTTCGGAAATTATTGTTTTTAGTTTTTCTCTATTATTTATCTTTCAATGATCAACACTACATAACTAAATAAACAAACGTAATGCTCAACCTTACAGAACTATTTATCAAACAGACACAAAGCTCAACATAACAGAACTATTTATTAAACAGACGCAGTGCTCAACATTACAAAACTAAATATTAAACAGACGCAGTGCTCAACATTACAGAACTAAATATTAAACAGAAGCAGTGCTCAACATTACAGAACTAAATATTAAACAGACGCAGTGCTCAACATTACAGAACTAAATATTAAACAGACGCAGTGCTCACCATTACAGAACTAAATATTAAACAGACGCAGTGCTCAACATGCCAGAACTAAATTTTAAATAGACGCAGTGCTCACCATTACAGAACTAAATATCAAACAGACGCAGTGCTCAACATTACAGAACTAAATATTAAACAGACGCAGTGCTCAACATGACAGAACTAAATATTAAACAGACGCAGTGCTCAACATTACAGAACTAAATATTAAACAGACGCTATGCTCAACCTGACAGAACTATATATTAAACAGACGCAATGCTCAACATGACTGAACTAAATATTATAACCAGACGCAATGTTCAACATTACAGAACTAAATATTAACCAGACGCAATGCTCAACATTACAGAACTAAATATCAAACAGACGCAATGCTCAACATTACAGAACTGAATGTTAAACAGACGCAGTGCTCAACATTACAGAACTAAATATTAAACAGACGCAGTGCTCAACATTACAGAACTAGATATTAAACAGACGCAGTGCTCAACATTACAGAACTAAATATTAAACAGACGCAGTGCTCAACATTACAGAACTAGATATTAAACAGACGCAGTGCTCAACATTACAGAACTAAATATTAAACAGACGCAGTGCTCAACATTACAGAACTAAATATTAAACAGACGCAGTGCTCAACATAACAGAACTATTTATTAAACAGACGCAGTGCTCAACATTACAGAACTAGTACAAACAAAAATAGACAAACACACTTTCAATTTTAATGTCTTTAATAATTGTGGGTCTGCATACAGAACGATCTTATTTGTGATTGATTAAGAAAACTACCATTCTTCAACTATACATCAAACTGTGGGTCCATCACTTTTTACCACAGCTTTCATTTATTGATAAAATGATAACTATTAAAAAATCAGAAATATGAACGATGTAATCGACTTTTTTAATGAAGATGTCATTAATTTTACCGTGAGCTTCAATAACGAATATTATCGTCTGTTATATTATCAATGCATTTTTGTTTAATGAAGTGGCTGTTTTCCTAAGGTTTATCGCCAATTTATTTCTCGCATTCAAGGAACTGAATAGTTTTAAGTTTTTAAAGCAAAGATATTGATAATTTGATCATTTATTTATTTCCTTTTTCGTCTGCTATATTCTAAAATATTTCTTTATCAAATATTGTTAAGATTCCATTATCTATCATATTTTTTATTTTTCCAGGGCTTTCAACTACTTTATTTGATTCACAATATTTGCCTTGTTCGTAGGTTTCAGTTTTATATAGAAACATAAGATTATTAACTTGAAATAGAAAAAAATGTTTTGTGATTCATGGGCGGGGGTTAATTTCCTGTTGAGCAGTTTTATCAAGATTTGTTTCTGATTTTACCCCATATGTCCTTTCATTCAGTGAACTACATGAATATCAAATACGAACAGAAGATTAATTTACATTTTACAAAATGTTTCATTTTTATGTCTGTCTTTTTAATCACATCACGGTTTAACAAATCACACAACTATCTTTCCTGCATGTCGACAGTTCCTTTGGTTCCATACCACTATCTGCTTGACGTATAACCTCTATCAGCTAAAATGTAGAAAGTAATGTCATATTTAAACAATTCATATCTAAATGATGTTTTTTTTAAATTGCAATGTATGCATTAGTCGAAGGTTTCGGTACAAATGTACTTAATTTCTGAGTCATTGATATATACTTATATAATTGAGGGTCTGGTTGGGGTTTATAGAATAGAGAATACTGGGCAAAAAGTGAAAAATATAGGTAAAAAAATATGAACAGAGAAAAACAGGCCGTAAACAAGAATGTGTCCATAGTACACGGATGCTCCACTCGCACTATCATTTTCTATGTTCAGTGGACCGTGAAGTTGGGGTCAAAACTCTAATTTTGGCATTAAAATTAGAAAGATCATATCAAAGAGAACATGTGTACTAAGTTTCAAGTTGATTGGACTTCAACTTCATCAAAAACTACCTTGACCAAAAACTTTAACCTGAAGCGGGACAGACGGACGAATGGACGGACGAACGAACAGTCGAACGGACGCACAGACCGAAAAACATAATGCCCCTAGGTGGGGCATAAAAAAAAGATAAGAGAACAATGGGGTGGTAAAACATAAAGAAATGACAGTAATGGGCAAAATTTTTAAAGAAAAGAAATAATGGCTTAAAACAATTAAAGAATACAGAATTGAAGGACCCCCCCCCCCCCCAAACCAAATGACGTAGACGTTAGGAACTATAGGTCATCGTCCGGCCGTTAAAAATGATTCATTGATTGATTGGTGATTGCTTTACGCCGCATCAGCACAAAAAGGCTATAACAATGAGCAAAACAACTACCTCACTGCAAGCCATTTAAAGCCTCTAAATGATATATGTAAATTTTTGTAGGGAAGGGAAGTTATGCTTAGATTTTAAATGCAATATAAATTTACATCAGATAATCTAGACAATCATGATAGATGGTTATATAGGTTTCAAGCTACAATTTTGAAGCTTTGAAAATATGAAATACCTTAAAGATGCAAAACTAGTTTTTTGAAGATGTTCACATCTCAATTACCCCCCCCCCCCCCCCCCCCCCTCCCCTTAATATTTTCAAATTCCTCTCACTTTTTCTTAGATAGGTGATGTATTTTCTAAATGCCCAGCATCCCCTTTTCTTTCATAACAATTAAAAAAGCGTAAATTTCAAATAAATTTTTTTGTAAAATATTTAGATTTTTTTATGTAATTTTTGACAAATCTTTCACACATTTTAATATACATCTTTTTCTTTCAATTTCGCATTCATGAACAATACAGAGACGTAGTGTATTACATTTTTTATATGATTTATGGAACGAACTTTAGTCTCTATATATCGCTTTTTCAAATACTAAATAAAGGTAATCCCAGTATTTGTTTTGTATGAGCCTACCAGTCAACATGCAAAGTAAAAACTTAACACACTCAGTTCAACGCCAACTATGTCATGAATATCGCTTATGTTCAAACTAAACATTAGAATATAATGTTATCGTTTTAAATATGAATCAAACAATGACTTTGGATATGCATATAATTTTAGTTCATAATTATGTATCCTTAGAATTATAATTTATTTTACTTAGTTTAAAAGATTTTCTGAAATGTGTTTTTGTGTTTGTTTTTGATCCAAGGTCTTTTAAATAGTTTACCTACATTTTTGTACAAGTTAAGTGGACACAAAAGATAAAAACAAAACCTGGGATTAATAAAAAGAAACCATAAAATATACCTACATCTTCCTCAATTGGCCATCCTTTCAAATTCAATTTGGAAAAAACAAGTTTGCCATTTATCGTAATTTCAAATGAATCTGAAATAATAGAAAAAAATGTTTTATAAATTTTTGAATTTCTATTCATTGTTGCATGTTTAAGTTACCTGGAGGTTAGGGGTCCTAGATGAATTGCTTCTGCTAATCAGATTGATGTCGAACTTAGGTGGTCAGTTGTCTCATTGGCAATCAAACCACGTCTTCTTATTTTTATATTAACTACGTATTAGATTAAACAAAACTTGTTTCCGAATCCCATATTTGACTGCTATGTTTAATTGTACTGTTAAATTATTATAATGTTTCAATAATACATGTAAATACTGTTTAAACCAAATGAATTCAATATTTCTCTTTGATCTCTCTTCAAGACGATTGGTCTAGTTTCCCTGATAATTTCCCATCTGCGGACAATGATATATGATCATTAAAAGAAGGAAACGTTCTTTTTCTATTAGAACATCTTTTCTTCTATTTGGAAGATTAAATTATGTGAAGGCCTCTGATTGAAAAAAAAAACTTTTTTAAATGAAAACAACACATTTTAAATTTGATGCACACGAAATGCTTTTCTGGAATTACCTTCAACAGGAACTTCCTGAATTCTTAAATACACACTTGGGTCTTGTTGTCTTTTGTAATTAAATATGTAAAACTTCAACCTCTTGTAGTGTAAAGAATTTGTGGTAAAAATGGGCAAATTAGAAGAAACGAATAATTATAAAATTATAACCATCATTGAAGTTCTAAAAATAATTTACAAAATGATCTAAAACTAGGAATTGCGGTGTTTTTGGGTGTATAATTACGCTCAATGCTACGACTGGTCTGAATAGAGAATGTATCCTTCACCCTAGTCGACCTACTAGATCTACTACTCAATTTCATTTTGTCCTGAATTTATTTTGAATATCTGTCAACGAACGTTAAGGAAACATATTTTACCGTCGATGAAATAAGTTACTTCTTTTAAACTGAATTTTACTGTGCGTATTGCTTTGTGTTTGTTTATTCTACATTGGCTAGAGGTATAGGGGGAGGGTTGAGATCTCACAAAACATGTTTAACACCGCCGCATTTTTGCGCCTGTCCCAAGTCAGGTGCCTCTGGCCTTTGTTAGTCCTGTATGTTTTTTTAATTTTAGTTCATATATATGTTTTGGAGTTTAGTATGACGTTCTTTTTTCACTGAACTAGGACACATTTTTATTTAGGGGCCAGGTGAAGCCCGCCTCCGGAAGCGGGATTTCTCGCTGTGTTGAAGACCCATTAGTGGCCTTCAGCTGTTTTCTGCTCTTTGGTCGGGTTGTTGTCTCTTTGACATATTCCCCATTTCCATTCTCAATTTTAACTCAGGAGAACTGAGCTATTGGTTACTAAAATGTATATAGTTCCCGCCGTTCTTATTCTTTCAATTAAATTCATAATGTCTTCATAAAACGAAATACTTCTTCGCAAAAACATCCTAGATAATAACGCCTTTAAGCAATGTGTTTACGTTTATATAGATATAAGAAGATGTGGTATGAGTGCCAATGAGACAACTCTCCATCCAAGTCAAAATTTATAAAAGTAAACCATTATAGGTCACAGTACGGTCTTCAACACGGAGCCTTGGCTCACACCGAACAGTAAGCTATAAAGGGCCCCAAAAAAATTACTAGTGTAAAACCATTCAAACGGGAAAACCAACGGTCTAATCTATATAAAAAACGAGAAACGAGAAACACTTATGAACCACATCTACATGTATATATATTTATTCATATTTGGCAGATCATGACTGGAATTATCATACATCCTTGTATAAAATTCAAGAGTTGTTACTTCTGTTTGGTAGTTTGTCTTGCACTTGTATATTGTACAATTAGAGATAGAGGGTTGCTGCTCACAAGGAAGCTTTTAAACCAAGCCTTCCAAATGGTGAAGTTGAAATCATTCCTTATTAAATTTTACGGACGCCATCACGAGTTGGTTGACCGTTACGGAATATCTGTTTCACAGATGATAGCGGTTATGTTCCTAATGTCGTAACTACAATCCCGTCCCCTTTTCCCGAATGTGACCTACAGAATTAGACTTATTACCGGGTTTGTACTAACATGTGCAACACGACGTGTGCCACATGTTGAGCAGGATCTGCTTACCCTTCCAAAGCACGTCAGATCACCCCCAGTTTTTGGTGGGGTTCGTGTTGCTCAGTCTTTAGTTTTCTATGTTGTGTTTTGTGTACTATTGTTTGTCTCTTTCTTTTTTTAGTCATGGCGTTGTCAGTTTATTTTCGACTTATGAGTTTGAATGTCCCTTTGATATCTTTCGCCTCTCCTTTGTATGAGGTCGATACGAGGTTATATCGACCTAAGAGAAGCATATTGACTGAAGACGAAGTCCGAGGTCGATATGCTTCTCTAGGTCGATATAACATCATATTGACCTAACCAAAGGCTGCAATTGTTATAATATTATTAATCAACAGCTATTGCATGAACAGTTGTAAAATTGGGGATTTCTAGAATGCATTTTTGTTACATGCTGTATGCTCTGTGCAATATGCTGTTTTAGACCTATGAAAAGCTAAAACAGTATTGGCGTGCAAACTGAGTAAAATACAAACGTACATGTGATCAAATTTTAATGAATCACAAATCCTTAAACATATTCGATTAATAATATTTCCTGGTACTGCATGATTGTCGGTATACAATTAATTCCCTCCGATCCTTTTTCGATGTATTAAAACAAAACTCAATACATAGGTAATGATAGTCATTAATAAATTAAACGTGTTGAATTGACCAGTAAGCTAATTCAAATGACAAGGGAATATAAAATTTGCCAAAAGTGAACAGATTTTACTATCAACCAATCAGAGGAGATTAAAATACGAACGATAAATTATGCATACATTTATGCAGGTAACGAGTAATGTCGAAAGTATCCGAGATTGAATTAAGCATTTTTAACTAATTAAAAATTTACCGTTTTTATATCTTTTTCTTTATCGATTTGAACTTAAAAAAAGAATACGTACTTTTGCGACCCCTTGATCCTATAATGTCAGCACCAGTTACCTCGGCAAGGATGCGCTTGCGAAGCGCCTCGTACTTGCCTGCGTAACCTCATCCGCTACTGTAAAATATTTTGAAATAAGATGTTAATATACAGGTTTACATGTACATGTGTATATATATATTTATTGTTTTCTGTTTGGTATTAAATTAATATAATTAAGATCCATTGTGTAACATCTGTGATCCGTTTATTTGGCAATCGCCATGGCAGTCAGCAGGGTTTAAGAACATCCGTTGTTCGACCTGCTTGTCAAATGCGTTTTGTTAAAATATACTTTTTCACTTTTTTGGTCTTTTGGAAAATGTTGTTTGTGCTGTATTTAGACCCCTCTACAAAGAAATTTGTTTTGCATGCACACGTATAAAAATTGCGGTTTTTATCCAACGCAATCATAGGTTTGAACGTTGTTTTCAATTTAGATTTGTTTATATTTTTTCGTTTGGGCTTGTATTATATTTGCCTTCGGGTTTATATGATCCGTTCATCCTATTTCGACTCTTCAAAATTCAAGAGTCAATCCCAAATTGAGGTAAATTATATGGCCTTCCAAATACCGTTTCGATTCCTAACATCACTGAAGAGACATTAATTGTCGAAATCCGGATATGGTGTACAAATTTTTGCACCTCATGTTTGCGGTATACCATCTTTTCCGCAAGTTTATTGTTTTCTGTTTGGTATTAAATTAATATAATTAAGATCCATTGTGTAACATCTGTGATCCGTTTATTTGGCAATCGCCATAGCAGTCAGCAGGGTTTAAGAACATCCGTTGTTCGACCTGCTTGTCAAATGCGTTTTGTTAAAATATACTTTTTCACTTTTTTGGTCTTTTGGAAAATGTTGTTTGTGCTGTATTTAGACCCCTCTACAAAGAAATTTGTTTTGCATGCACACGTATAAAAATTGCGGTTTTTATCCAACGCAATTATAGGTTTGAACGTTGTTTTCAATTTAGATTTGTTTATATTTTTTCGTTTGGGCTTGTATTATATTTGCCTTCGGGTTTATATGATCCGTTCATCCTATTTCGACTCTTCAAAATTCAAGAGTCAATCCCAAATTGAGGTAAATTATATGGCCTTCCAAATACCGTTTCGATTCCTAACATCACTGAAGAGACATTAATTGTCGAAATCCGGATATGGTGTACAAATTTTTGCACCTCATGTTTGCGGCATACCATCTTTTCCGCAAGTTTATTGTTTTCTGTTTGGTATTAAATTAATATAATTAAGATCCATTGTGTAACATCTGTGATCCGTTTATTTGGCAATCGCCATGGCAGTCAGCAGGGTTTAAGAACATCCGTTGTTCGACACGTATAAAAATTGCGGTTTTTATCCAACGCAATCATAGGTTTGAACGTTGTTTTCAATTTAGATTTGTTTATATATATACACATGTATATATATATATATATATATATGTATTTTAATGAACGAAAATAATAACAGACCAACAAAACTTCTTATTGACGTCTGTGGGTACTAGACGTCTAGACGTATTCTAAATATACTTTAGAAATCGTGGAATACCATCAACAGGAAGAAAATCGGCCTTTAAGAAATTCCTTCATTTCCAAAACCGTATTCGGTGTTTACTTAGAACAATGTGTAGTGAGTGTGTGTGATCGTGTGCAAAGATGTGTGTTTTTAGTACGCTGTTCGTGTACGTTTCTTGTTTATCTCGATTCCTTTGCTTTATTAGTTGGAAAATTGGATTTCCCTGTTCCTGATGCCTACATAGAGGCGCTCAATAAAAGTATAAGCTAGAATGAAAACTGAAAATTATTAATTTATAGATGAAACTAAGTACTGAATTTTCCGTAAGTACGTTTGATCATTTCGATGATTGATTACTTGTAGTTTGCTTTACATCCAGTGAACAGGCGGGAAATTGGGACTATCACTGGAACATGAGGGCCAGAAATTAAGCCTTGCAACATGCCACGAAGCAAAGGACCCAACGAGGCCATCCTGTCGTATGAAGGCACAGAGATGACAACATGTCTTTACCCTAGTCACCCTTAAACTACAAATTTAAATACAAAATATAGAATTACTTCCCATTCAGGATCATTCAGTTTTTATTTGTGAACTTAAAACTTGCCTCGTCATGATTATTTAAATAATCCTTGATATGTTTAGTGACCGTTTTTAATGGCTCATGTAATATATGTGTAATGTATTATATACCTTCAAAAATTGCTTAATTACAAAAAGAAGTCTAGGTCATAGATATATCAATATTTGTAATACTTTAAAATTAAAATGCCCAATAGGCTATTGATTCCATGATAAATGAACACTTAAGCGACTTCAATTTGATAAATTATAATAATTAAGGTGGTACCCAACACCTTGACTAATATTAATTTGGCTCGTTTAATTTTCATAAAATTTTGACAAAGTATTTACTTTGACCCTTTGACAAAAATATAAAAATTTCAAAAAATTTGAACCAACCAATTTATCAGAAAAATTAGACTGGTTATATAGCAGTTTGACAAACACTAACTTTGATCATTGAGAAGCTTAATATTCCCTTAACAATACAACGTAATTAAAACGTTTAGCTGATTTTTACAGAGTTATCTCCCTGTAGTGTTAGGTACCACCTTAAGCGACTTCAATTTGATAAATTATAATAATTAAAAGATATATAGAATAGCGAATAGAAACGGGAAATGTGTCAAAGAGACACCACCTCAACCAAAGGGCAGAAAACAGCCCAAGGCTACTAATATGTATTCAACGGAGCGAGAAAATTCTGTATCTGGAGTCGGGCTTCATCTGGCCCTTAAACAATAATGTATACTAGTTCATCGAAATGGACGACACAATAAATTCCGAAACATACAAATGAATACTTACATTGTGACTGTTGTGGCTTAATCCAAACACAAACACATACGTGTTTGTTTATTTATTCAAGAGATACCATTGAAAAAGCTCAGACGTTTTTATCAGTTGTATATTTTGACCTATCATACGGTTAACCCAAGTATAAACTTCATTTTTTTTTGCGATGAGACCTACATATAGGTTCAATTCCGGGGTTATGCATATGTGTTTTTCTGTATGAGCGAAGGGAATTATTATCGATCAAAACTTTGACCTGAAAAATTATGAAATATTTGCCGTTTGACGTTAAGCAAACACCAATCAATCGATTTACCCTAAATACATTGAAATTCGCCAGATACTAAATGACGATGAATGAAAAAATCGATATCACAGCTGATTACGTTTAATTTAAAAAATATATTACAATAATACAAAAGAATTATTGTGAATAAAAAACAAATACATACCAATACTCAACTTGAACCTTCACTCCCATCTTTTTTTCCTTTTAGTTTTCCGTATACGCAGATCTTCCTGTAATGTTTGTTGTTAAACTTAGTACAGGTACAATACAGGTAGATAATTTGAAAAACGCTTCGTCATCTACTGATTAAATACCGTTGATATAGATCTAAATGTGACTTTTATTATTATAGAAATTAACACAATGCAATCTTGTCGCGGGCTCGTAATGTCCTTTCATTGATGATTTTGATTGGTTTATAAATATGATATCAATCAAAATCATGTATTTGTATTTAATTTTGATGGAAATTTTGCTTAGTTCTTCTTTGAAATATTGAAGATATATATTTGTTTACATTCCTCAGATTGACTGATTGGTGTTTAACGTAACTTTCGGCACTTTTGTGCTATTTCGTGGCGGTCAGTTTTTATTGGTGGAGAAAGCCGGAGTGCCAAGGGAGAACCGCCTACCTTCGGTAGGTAAAAAAACCTTGTCAATTAAGATTGTAGTGGAATGCACCTGCCACGTGCGGGATTCAAACTCACAACCTCAGTGTTGACAGGCTAGTGACGCAGTAGTTTATTCAACTACTTACACCACATGGCCACGGAGGCCCCTACTGTTCTCTAAAGTTTCAAAAGGCAACCAACTAGTGCAGACACTGATGCGTCTGGTGTAGACGAAAGGCACGTTTGGTGCACCAAATTATAAGCCAAATTATCAGCTAAGCCTGGTATCTTTGATGAGTAATAGGCGATGAGGAAGACAATCTCCCCATTTCGTAGAAAGTGAGGACTTGAATTTGTCTCCAATTCGATCACTTTTCTTATGTGTTCGGATATCCCGTCATCTATTCCTCGATTGTGGCATCACTGAATTTGTATTAACCAAATAAGCAGCACGACGTGTCACATGTGGAACAGGATGTAGTTTTTCTTAGACAATTTTTTTTTTTTGTATTTGCCATGTCGATTTCTCTATGACTAATGCATGTTGATTGACCCCTTGTAAAACTAAGGAGATGAGGTTTGATTGCCAATGAGACAACTATCCACCAAAGTTCAAATGAAGTGGATGTAAGCAATTATAGGCAACCGTACGGCCTTCAACAATGAGAAAAACCCATACCGTATAGTAAAATATAAAAAATTAAACAATTCAATTGAGAAAACTAACGGCCAAATTTATAACAAAACAATTTACGAAAAACAAATATGACCGACATGAACCAACAACAACCACTGAACTACAGGCTCCTGACTTGGGACAGCCACATAACGAATGTGGCGGGGTTAAACATGTTTGTGAGCGCTCAACCCTCCCCCTAACCTGGGACAGTGGTGAAACAGCACAACATAAGAACAAACTATAAAAATCAGTTGAAAAGGCTTAACTCATCAGATCGATACAAAGCAGAACAATCAAACTAAAACACAGACCGGACGTGGCAGGGTATTTATCCATCCCTCATCCCTAACAACAAAAAGGGCACTAAGTACAGATCTGAGAGTACTCGCAGTTACTGACAGCTAGTTCAAAGCCAATAACAACTTATAAAAAAAATCATGTATCTAAGACTTAAATATCAATCAGTACACATCCAACATCCAATGGATTTAGTGTAAAGACGTCATTAACAGTCAGAGAAAAACATGACCTTGTGCAATGCCAACATAAAGGTATCGACAGATTGTAGTACCGTTAAAGTGCATACTGTATGTGTGTAACAAAACTATTTTGTATAATTTTAATTTAATACAAAATCAATATTTATACCAATCATTTTTCAGTCATTTTTTTAAAAGTAATAATGACCGTCCGAATACTTTTCAGAAATAACTTTAGCTTGAACGTACCATCGCATTATTTATTATTTTGCTTGTCCAAATATTTTTTAATAGACATGAATTTTTAAACTGACCCATCACCTTCTCCACACAACCACCAAACAAACTACAAGAAATCAAACCAAACCATTCATAAAAAACCAACACTGTGGCTGAACGGATCTTTATATGACGTCATTCGGATCCATGCATTTTTCTTTCCCAGATACACACTATAATTAGAGGCAACCTGAAAAATTATATGAGACCATTTAAAAGTACAAGGCAGTCCAAAGGAACTGACCAAGTAACATGTTAAAGTGTTGACATCAAATGCTGTTCAAATTAAAGTTGCCTAATACTATCAAAATTACATACAGGCAAGACATATTTCTGTGTCAACAGTTTATTTACAACTAACCCGACTGGCCCAGACGTTCGCTATCGATTACTACATTTACATCGAGAGGAAATAATCACATTGCATAGAAGTTTCATACGATAACATGATTTTGATTTCCGCGTTTCATACAAAATGTGATTCGGTCAATCTTTTACACCGAATGAAAATATTACAAAAGGAAGAAATTCAATTTTTATAATTTGTTATCAACATCTGTTCACTTGTAGCATTAACATTCACATCAAAAGATTAGAAACGAGTTGAGATTGTTTGTTTTTGGTACATGTTTACTAGTTGGTGTTTTGGGCAAGTGTTTTTCCAAATGCAATTAAAAAAATCGAGTTATTGAAAAATATTGATCATGAAATGTTAAGTGATGGAATGAAATTGTTCAGATTACACCTTTGATCATTTCTGTACAGTTGTGACAATGTACTGTTTCATGAGGTACATTGTTCTACGAAGTGTGTACTCTCTCTTGTGTCACTAAATCCCAAATAGTTTTAATTTGATAAAGAAATACCATCTGGATTTCTTCCCTCCGTCAATAAAAACGATTCTAAAAAATTGGATCGGGTTGGTTGCTAAGAATGTAAAAAAACGTACCCATGTCCGGTCAGAATGAGGACGTTAAATTTGATGTCATGTGCATGTAATATTTGCCACGAAACATTAAGAAAACAACTGTTTATTAATCACCTTCTGTCACTTTCTTTTCTTATCTCAAACTATGCAAAAATCATTATCTTTGGGTTGTCTTTGTTGAATATTACTTGCTTTCTTTTTTTATATAATTTCTTTTTCTGTGATGGGCCTCGGTGGCCGAGTAGTCTAGTGCCTACCCTGTCAACACAGATTGTTAGTTTGAAACCCGTTTCGGCCAGGTGCGTTCGAATCCCAACCTTAATTTTCCAGTGTTCCCGTCTGCGAAGGTCAGTTGTTTTTTTAATGGTATTCCAATTTCCTTCACCAATAAAAAAAAAAAAAAAACTGTACGCCATGAAAGTCTGCTAAAAGTGGTGCAGTGCGTGTAGACATCTGTCTCTGGTTCATCTGCTGTTGTGGGTTATACACTTCTGTCTCTCTATTTTGGAAGTTCTGCTTGATATATAAATACTCATCCACGTTTTAACCATCGAAGGGAAACATCTTTTTGAGGCAGTCTGATGCCAGGCAAATTTTGGTTTGAAGGTCAATTCAAAAAAGCGCTTTGGGCGCCTGAATTATATATAGTGTTATTTTCATTATTAAGTTATTGTCAGAGAGACAAGTATTGGCCGTTCTTATAGGGGTACTGCATGATGGATGCGTTATCCATCTGTTTACTCTTTTGAATCTAAATGTTATGCTTTAAATGTTTCACGTAGCTTGTAATTTCTACAACGGCGGTAATGTAAAAGTCCGTGCCTATATCAGTTTTTAAAACTCGAACATAGAACTTGCTGTCCCAGGTTTTTCCAAATTGTTTCTATTAATAATACTAGTACACTATAATACATGTACATGTATCGCTAATGATATATCTACGAAAACAACGTATTAATGGGATATTTTTTACGATTGTAAATGAGACAACTCTTTAGCAAAGACCTACAATAAACTGTACAAATGAATCAATGAACAGATAATTAACGTCCATTGGCAAATATTACAATCATATGATTTAATGTGCTAAGATTATGAACCTTGCTTTGTACTCGATCCATCCACGCGCTCAGTCGGATTTTCTGTGTGCGAGTATGCAAGTTTGCAGTCCACCGGAAGACATGTCATTCGAACTAAGCACGTTTTTGTGTTTAGCAGAGGACAAACATGTACTAATTTAACGCCTGCTTTGTCTTTGCTTGGGTACAAACCCACGAAACAACCAAAATAACTAAGTAATTGTAATTATGATTTTGGTTTGACCGCCTGAGGATTGAACTTATAACCTCTTAAAATCCTTGCAAACACACAACCACGAGACTACCCGAACAGTACACGTACCAGACAAGATCTAGACATTTGCATATCTATTTATATCTTCTGAAGCAGGTAAAACGTCCGGATTTCAGCCGAGTTGAAAAGTGTATATTCTAAAAAGTCGAAAAGTTAGAACTTGATTTTTTTCTGTAGAAATGTACAAGCGAAACACATTTTAGTGACTGATCCTACACGCACATTTTTTTCGTGAATTTGATAATTTGTTGACCAACATTTCTAATCTTGTTCTAGTGGGACGACATTTCAAATTTCAAATCATTAATTTTACTTCATAACAATGTTACGACATGAAAATCAGATACAATGTACTTTTGAGTAAAATTGAACCTGTAAAATTCAATGATGACATTGCAAATTATTATAACGGTTTATGTTATTGTAATTTTGTTTATCTAAATAAATATAATTATGCAGGACACGGTACGATATCTGTATTTAACTATGTACCCTTTAAAATGTTTCCTCGTATTATTTGAAATACAAACAAGTACTTGTGCAAATGACATTTAAAATGATAGATTTTTCACATAAAGTTAATTATACGAGGAAGAAATTGTTTTGATGAGATCTTAAAATTTTGATGAATTCATTAAACATCAATATATGTATGTACAATTACTAAGATTGCACTGAACATGTACAGTGCACATGCATACAATTTTAAACATGTCTAGAAGAACGTGACTTTTAATACCAATCGAATAAAAACGCATTTTACATAAGAATGACAAGGCTTAATCTCTGATTTCTCCAAAAACTTCAAATTACACCGCGCTTAGAAATACTGTTGAAAATTCATTATCTAATAGTCCATTTGTCAATTACCGATTTGATTCTGTTATTACTCACTTTAAATAAGAGTTTTCCCTTAGTCAATTGTAGACTGGTTCTATACAGGATAAAATGGGGCTGCTGCCTATGCAAAGCATGAAAAATTGAAAGTGATATACATGTATA